ATTTTGTGATTTATTATTCATGCTGGGCGTAAATAATGGATACTCTTGCAAAACATGTAAATAAAAATATTTAATTCATAAAGTTTGAAAGAATATAATCCACGTCGAATGCGTATCGCAAGAATCACGATAGTGAAGAGAAACTAACTAAATCTGCTCCGAAAACTTTCTGCTCAATTTGTTTGAGCTTTTTTGCATCGATTGTTTTTAAAAATTCATAGGCAACTTTTGGGTCCGCCGTTGTCTTTCCAAGTTCCTCGGCGAGCGCTAATCCTTTTTCGACAATTACATCATGTTCTGTCAGAACTCATGGGTTCGTGGCTACGCCACTTTGGGATATCGCCTTGTGAAACAAACCTGTAAAGCAAAATTGTAACGAGCATTCGATTTTATTAATTTTATTCAATATGTATTTTTGCTATCATTCTTTTTTTTCTTAACGTAATGTGTAAATATTGAGAACAGTTTCTTATTTTTTTAATCTTAATATTACACATGTATTTTTTAAAATTAAAATCTAAATTATTAGATTTTAAGAGCTTTGGATTAGAATTATTAAATATCTTTGAAATGTTTTCATTGATTCCAAGTTAAATCTATGATTAAATGCATATTTGGTTATTCTGGAACACTATTCTGTGTTTGATAAGATTGTGTGATTGATACCTTCCACAAGCGGTGACAGACCTAGGCATTGTAGCATAGCTGCACCGACGTTTTGATCAAAAATAGTGATATTTTGCGGATCTCCACCGAACTTTGATACATTCTGTTGCACCCATTGTAACGTCATTAAGACATCTTTCAGACCTTGAGTGCCACTTGCTTTTATGTGATTAAGATTCAGAAAATCTAAAGAGATATACGTCATTAATGCACGATATATGAACTGATAATTGATAAACTGAGCTGGAATCGGACAGTAGATTAAAGGTGAATCTAGAAGTTGTCGCGATGGTGAAAAACTCTCTAACTGAAGAATTTCCGCGCGGATCGATTTCAAATTCCTTCCCGCGATTGACACACTTGCTTCGAGCTTAATTCGATTTATTAGGGCGATAACGTCGTTATAATCACTTCATGAATATTCGTGTTGAAAAGTAACACATTTTAAGGCTGGTCTTGCATAAAATCTAAGAAAAAGAGAAAGAGCGCCAATACGGCGTTTTGCTAGCTTTGTTATTTTCAATTATAACTCTTGTACAGTAAAATTGTAGTATAAATATATTTCTTTTATTTATAAAATTTTTATGCAAAACGGTTTTGAAGAAAATAGATTTTGACAATTAATAATCTTTAACAATACGTCAGCATGCAAGTGATTGTTTGAAATATCTATGGGAAATCCAAATCTAAATGTTTATTCTAGAGGAGGCAAAAGACACGTACACACACAGGCGATTGTGTATCAAGTCAACAGACAACGCACCCAGAACACCTAATCTATAATTCAGGGTGACAAGTACTGTGACCCTCTTGATTAATAAATCAGGTCCATAAAGAAGTGCATCGCCGGAGCTGAAAAAAAACCGCCACCGTGTATATGTATCAGCACGGGATGTTTTTTCTCAGGTTTGATATCTGAGGTGTATGTACACATTCAAGAAGAGACAATCTTCGCCGTCGATCATTTCACATGTCCAGAACTCCATCCGAACGGAGACGTTTCCGAATTTTGAAGCGTCTCAGCTGCTGGACCATGGTTTTTGGATTGGTACCGGATCCTAAAAACATAAAATTTGTCAGTCATATTATATCGCAATTATATTCAGCATTGCATTTATCTGTAGTAAATAATGTATGCACGATAACTATTTTTAATTTTAATATCTGCGCAACTTGCATACATTTAGAAACAAATATATGAATTGATAATAAAAATAATTAACATATGCTCATTTTTTAAATTTTGAATACATTTTTTTATTTACGAAATATAAACGAAATATCTTCCGCTGCGCGTGTATTGTATGCTGTTAATTGTGAAGAGCGCTTATCTGTCATTACGTATGCACATAAATTGTGAGAACCTACACACATAAATTATATGTAATCTTATTGATTTTTTTTATAAATAACATTTTTACCGATGAAGTATAGGAGTTGACTACAATTCGAATATTGCTGAACTATGAAAGTTTCTGCGTTGTTTGCGCATGTTTTCTCCTCTATATATCTTGCGTACTCTTAATAAAACCATATCATATCAATAAACCGAAAAAGTAGAACTTCAGCAATACGCAACTAATCAACTTTATTGAGGTTGGTAGATTTGATGGAAAAGATTACTCAACCGTGATTGATCGATCCGTTCACTGCTTAAGCTGTACCATTCAAGTTTGTTGTGTACTTTGGTTTCTGCGAATTCTACGCGTTCACAATAATAAGATTAATTCATATCAAATACACCTCTTTACTTCTGCAATTGTTGCAACAAACGCAGTAAATAATTTTTATTATCAATTTTGTCAAATATAATGATTGCGCCAATTAGCAAACAGTATCGTCCAATCATTGAGACAGTTTATTTAAGTGATAGTTATCTCTTGGTAAACAAGTAATGAGAATATCGCCAAATTAAGATTAAAAATAATGATTCTTTCTTGAAGGCGCAGATAAAAACAGCAAATACCTGAAATCTGAGCTCGCCAATGGGCGGTACCGCATATGGTATTTCTCGGATGGCGATGTAACCATCTTCGTAGATACTTTCTTCCACGATGCCGCTTAATTTGCCCTCAGTTACGTTCACCTCTACTCTGCTCTGCATGATGGACGAGTAAAATATTCAAATGTCGATAGGCTTGGTTTTAATCAATTTTTGTAAACACATTTGGCCTCAGTTACGTTCTCGCCTCTACTCTGCTCTGCATGATAAGCAAAATATTCGGATATTAATAGGTTTGGTTTTCATTAACATTTGTAAACACATTTTTACACACATATTGAGGCATCGGTTTGAACATTGTTTAAAAGGATTAGACAAATAGTGTGGGAAAATAATAATAATTATATAAGATTGATGAATTTAGAAACACGATCCGCAATCGTAACTTAATTCTGTCATGTAGACACGACTCGAACGTCAGGTACAAGTCGTGCTATCAGTGCGATGTGGAACTCCCTTTTTCACGGATGCAATTGGAGACGACATATATCGGGCATGCGAGACATGTCGTTTTGTCGCTTCGACATGTGGCGGCTTTTAGTCGTTGATCGATGGCGACGAAGGCGATGTGATAATGGAGTCATGTTCGTTGAATTAAGCGGAGATATCGGACGGAACGTGTCTGCCATGTTCTCCATGCGG